TATGGGGGGTTTTATGGGGTAAAAATTGGTTTTTCTAATTTTTGACCCTCCAAACGCAAAATTTCCCAATTTCTCTTCAGACCTTCTTAAAGAGCTTAAAAAAACAAATAATTTAGTATATAAAAGAGTTTTTGTACTATTATTAGTTACGGAGAAAATTCAAATAATTGTTATTTTAAAATTCCCATGTTATTCTTATGGGGAATATTGTAAAATGTTGTGGTCTGCTTGTTTATGGATATAATTGCGGGTTCGGGGGCGATATATGACGGTTATGGGGTATTGACGGGAATTTGGGAAATCGAAGGGAATAACAGGGCAATGCTAATAGGGTTGAAATTGCTATGTCTGGACCAAACTTAACTTAAGCGTGCTGAATCTGCTACCATTAAAATTAGGAAGATTGCTGGCGACCAGAGGGACGGAGATCTTTACCCAAATCAGAACACCTTTCTAGCCAGCTTTGATTTAGACCAACTTAACTAAATATTTAACTGTAGACCTATCCCAATTATGAACTGAACATGGATAATTACTCAGAAATATTGCAGAGTGAATGAAATAATACGTAAATTGAATACTGAATGTGAAATATGTAGGAAAATAAGAACAATACAATTTTTAAGATTTTTAATTGCCTTGTTTATTTATATTTATTTTACAAGTCATCAGATGTTGTACAAGAAATCCGTGGTAGGAGTTGTGAATGATTTGACTTGAGCTGGCTTGAGTCCATGTTTAATTTGGACTCAAAAAATCACTAATTTTCTGAGCCAGGTGATGGCCGAGTTATCCAGACTGCCGGGTTATCGAGTGCCGAGTTTGCGGGACTCTACTGTATAAAAAAATATTAAATTTAAAATTAAAATATTAATTTAAAGTATTAAATTATAGGTTATGTTCCATAAAAGGGTGTGTTAAGTATTTCAGTCGTGGTTTGATGAAAATGTTACATCACTACATCATTAGCCTATATCATGTAGCCGGGGGGGTGAGAAGGAAGGAGACTATTGTTTGCTATTGCAGGTTCGGGGGCAATATATGGCGGTTATGGGATATTGGCGGGAATTCGGGAAATTGAAGGGAATAACAGGGCAATGCTAATAGGGTTGGAATTGCTATGTCTGGACCAAACTTAACTTAAGCGTGCTGAATCTGCTACCATTAAAATTAGGAAGATTGCTGGGGACCAGAGGGACGGAGATCTTTACCCAAATCAGAACACCTTTCTAGCCAGCTTTGATTTAGACTAACTTAACTAAATATTTAACTGTAGACCTATCCCAATTATGAACTGAACATGGATAATTACTCAGAAATATTGCAGAGTGAATGAAATAATACGTAAATTGAATACTGAATGTGAAATATGTATGAATTTAATTGATAATTGTTAAGCTACGTTCTGGGAACATGTGGTTTAGTTTTTCATGTTGGAAAAGGTTGGTTGCAGAAGGCAGCCAACCAACTAAGTTGTGATTCCCTACATTTCAATGGTCGGGTGAGCCAGAAAGGCTCCCCGGTGTTTCCTGACTTAGCCAACCATAATTGGTACTTATATCCTACATAATTATAACTAAATATAAACTTATCAGTTTGCGGTCGCCGGAGTTAGCAATTTCACTGTTTTCTCTTCGAAGGATCGTAGACCAAGACAAGAAGGAGGACAAGAGTAAGAAAGTGGGGATAGAGCGTTGATGCAGTCGCGGCAGGCAACGAGATGGTCATGCAGCCCGGCTTCGCGAAATGCTTACACTATATAAAATATAGCGTGCCGGTATGCGTCACAATCAGAATCAATATCAGTGTTTGTAAATAGTTTTGAAATCAAATAAAAAAACCTGATTTTCCATCCGTGTATCAGAATTTTTATATCAAGGGGGTTAAAAATTTTACATTTAATTTATCACACATGTTATCCATTTTTATTACCCTGATAATTGGACTAATTTGTTAATTACAAGGCAAAATGTGGTTTGAATTACCCTTAGTTGATTTTGGCTGTATTGGCTATAACAGCTGTGTATAAGGAATATGTCGGCCTTAGTCCCTTTCAAAACTAAAAGGTTACGCCACTCATCCTAAACTCATCTCTATTAATTCTTGGCTTAAAATACCTACATTGGTATGTTCGCCATTTCAAAGTATAGTATTAAAGTATTAATTTATTTGGTTGGTTTAATCTTTAGTTATAATTAACTCATACACTAAAAGCTGGTTAATTTAATAGATTGACGTACTTTTATCACAGGCTAAAATAGCCTATTGCATATTTTTATTTTATCTTTGTATGGATTTCAAGAGTTTATCTTACAACAAATGTCTATTGGTTAATTGTGAGGTAAAATAAGATATGGACTAACAAACACAGTCAGTAGAGTAGCAGAATATTGTATTTAACAAAATGCAATCAATATTAGGATTAGGAAAAAACTAAAATGTGAAATAATACAATATTAAAAGCCCCAGCCCTCGTTCATGGCTCCAGGCTCAAAGTAACAAAATGTTTGCAGACGACATAAGCAGTGTACGAAATCACCGAGAAGTAAAATATCTCTCGGCGACGAAAGTAAGATTGCATAATAATCAAAGACCCACGTTATAACTCGTTAAATTTGTTACCCTAGTTCGTTATCACTGGAGAGGCCTAACAAAATTAAACGAGAACTGATAACAACATATTATTAATAAGATAAATGTAATTACTTGTTCAATACAATTATTGAATGATTGATAATACATTTTAATAGGAATGAACTCCAATTTTTCGGCCCCACTCGTCTCACGGGCCTCTCTGCTCACCGTTTCCCGCTCACCATTTCCCGCTCACCGGTTCGCGGGCTCCCTCAGCTCCCGGGCACCCCCGCATTGCGGGCCCTTCTGTTACGCCACTGGGACTGTTGATTGATAGTGATATTTGAAGCAGTTATAGCAGCAATAGCAGTTATCGTTGTAGCTGTCTTCTGCTGAAATTTATTTGCATAGTTTTTGTTGGATTTATTGCCAAGTCATTTTGAAGACAGTAGGTTGTTGCTTTATTGGTTACTTCAGTGATCTCTGAGTACAGTCCATGAGTTGTATCATTCTTCAGTCCTATGGTGAGGTATACGCAAAGTTAATGATGTATGGCGTGAGTATCTAACACTTTCTTCAGCTACAAACCTAAAATCATCCACAAAATATTTTGGAAAATTGTTTTTTTATTATTGAATAGGTTAGCAAAGGAATTTTGATTGATCTCAGATCACATAGATTTAATAAATTAGAATGAATGTAGAAAGGGGTGATGCGCTCACTGTGTCTTAGATCATAGATGAATCTTATGCAGTAGTTCTGAGCACGTTGGAGAGCATCAGCGAGGTTTACAGTCATGTCATTGATCACAGAGCTGCAGTAAGTGAAGTGGGGAAAAACAAGTGGTTTAACCAGGTGTAACTTTATGTGCAAAGGCAAGAAATGTTGTAACTTTTTAAGTGAGAGGATTGATGCAAACACCTTTTTACGGATGTCTTTTACCGCATCGCCCCAAGTAAGTGTCGAGTTGATAGTAAGTCCTAAGTTTTTAAATCGACACTGTAAAGCAAAGCTGTTCCATTATAGTTATTGGATTCATCGTCAGAAAGTCAATAGAGTTCCGTAAACCTGGATGACAAATTATGATCGGTTTAGTTTTTTCGTGGTTTTAGAATGAGTTGTGTTTGTTAGTCCAAGTAATGATTTTCTCAATATCTTCTTTCACTCTCAGAACACTTTCCTTGATCTGTTTGGCTGAAAAATGTGTATAAATCTGCTAGTCGTCAGCATACATGTGGTATTTGCAGTGTGTGAGGACTGAGCTCAAGTAATTTATGTATAGCACGAACAGCAGAGGGCCAAGGATACTTTTATCACAGGCTAAAATAGCCTATTGCATATTTTTATTTTATCTTTGTATGAATTTCAAGAAAAATCCAAAAAAAAAAAAAAAAAAATGAAATCTTACAACAAATGTCTATTGGTTAATTGTGAGGTAAAATAAGATATGGAATAACAAACACAGTCAGTAGAGTAGCAGTATATTGTATTTAACTCTAGATATACTAGATTTAACTCGCCATAAAACTCTAGATGGTTGGTTATTATTTTAAAACGCATACGAATATGTCAAAATTTGTTAATTTTGCAAAAGTTGTTTAACTCTATTTCAAAAATAACAATACTGTTCCATTTCTACCTTATTCCGGGAACGTTTTGCTCTCCTGAAAAGACAGTCGCGTCTAGCCATGAAGGTACATATTTTTTCAAACACCAGAGTGATTGTAATTTAAATATCTCGTAAACTGTGACATCAGAAATTTTCTTTGTAGTTCTTTAATTGTTTTACCTGTTAGAACGTATAGGCTCCAAGGACTCTTAAGGCACTTTCTTGCTGCCATCACTCATCCTCTTTGCTTCACATTTCCATTATAAGGTATTGTTTAGTCTGTTTCACAAATAATACCTTATAATGGTATTTTAAATATTTAAATTAATTAATATGTAAGAAAAACATAACTTTGCATTACCCTTCTAATTACATTTTAAAGTAAATTAACAGGATGCAAGATCCAACAATCAATGCAAGATCTTAATGACTTGTTATTTTGTTATTGTTCCTTTTAGCTGAACAATAATACTTTTTGGTGTTATTAGTGTTGTACAATTGACTATTGGTCTATAGTCAATTTTTTAAAATACAATTTTTAATTAGTTGTTATTTTTGAACACCCTTAATTCAAAATATTCATATATCCTTAACGTTAGGGTATGGACTCCTAGATTGGTGGAAAGTTATGTTTTGTTACTAATACATAGTACTTTAACACATACAACATTTTTGTTACACTATCTTCAACATCGTTCCACACTTAGGTCTAATATAATCAGAGTTTGTTTCAAGATTAGATTAAACATTAAATTCCTAAGTAGACCTAGTTTAAGGTAAAAGTAGGGAACAACCTAAACATAACAACTATACTGACCCGGTAGCAGCTACAGAACCATCGCCCTGAAAACTGATGCAGTAAACAGGTTTGCAGTGGCCTTCCTGATGCAATACTTCTTGTCCTACTTCTAGATCCCACAATCTCCAGGAATGGTCAAAACTGCAGGTGCCAAGGAACCTGCCACTAGGATGGAACTCTATCCGAGACACCCTGGCTACATGACCTTCAATATCTGCAAGGGGATCCTCACTGCAACAAAACCAGCAATCAGAATAATGCTAATGGGACACAACCATTATACACACTCTGTATATAGTCAATGACACAACCATCCATGTATAATAACTCCCTGGATTGCGCGCACAGGTTGAAGTAGGTCTCGAAAAACGGTCCGTCTGCGAGGAGTGGGGATAAAAGGCATGAGTCACCCTAGTGGCGAGCGTCGCGCCCGCTCTTGCCGTGAATTTCTATGTTAGTTTTGTGGAAATATTCCGAGGATAATTGATTGTAACGAACTTAAGGAGGTTTTATATGCAGATATAATTAATCTACGTACTTGCTCACACTTTATAGACTATGTGTCAAAAGTAAATCTCATAAGAAATGTAGTGGTGATATAAAAGAGTTAGATTTATTTATATTTGAACATTAACCAGAGCAAAGTATATCACAATAATTATTTGATCACATATGCATGTCATCATTTGCTTCGGTGAGGCCCAATTATTATTGAGAGACTTTGCATCATTTAAGAATATATATTTTGTTTATATTATAGTATGTTTCTTTGTCATACTGTGTTTAACGTGTTTGGAAAACATATTATGTTGCTAAATAAAATGAGTGTATAATATTTAATGCCAATATCTCAAATGTATTCATTATTCTCACTGAAATAAAATAATAACAAAATAACTGTGAAATCCAACATTTATTCTTTGATTCAAAGAATTTTGTTAACTATAGACTACCGGTAAACATTAAAATGCATAAACATACGCCTGTAAATTCAGTTACCATTCTTCGTAATGTAATGACATATTTGATGTAATATAATGATAATTAAATGCTAGAAACTCGGTTTCTATATCCCGTACACTGATGCTGAGTCGGCCGAGCTCCTAGCGGCAATGCCGCGCCAAGCGATTTTATGCCTATTTTTTATCGCTTAAAAATGATACAAGCAGGCTCCGTATCAAAAAAAGCTTCAAATAAAAAATAAAATTCATACTTTGATCTCAAATTTTGCCGCAGGGATTAAAATGTTTCTACCAGCAAACACAGTACAACAATAGAACGGGCACAGGTGTAAGTTGTCGCGGATTTTTTAGAACTGTATTTTTAATACTGTAGGCCTAATTATGTGTCTATTAGGCATTTCTAGGCTATGTTTGAAAATCCAAACAAATCGGTAATATGAACTACCTAAGGTCCCAATTGGTTCGGATTTTTTACTCTCTACTGTACAAATATTGTTGTTACTAATAATATTCAAAGAAACTCTTGATATCAGACAGCATTTACCTGGACATGTCGAAGGCTTTTGACAGATTGAGTCATGAACATCTACTGGCTAAGCTCAGCAATTTGGGTGTTACTGGTGCCATGCTAAGTTGGTTCAGAAGCTATGTCAGTAATCGTCACCAGGTTGTCAGATACAATGGATGTACATCCACAGCGTTTCCTGTTCTTTCTGGAGTCCCCCAGGGCTCGTTATTGGATCCTGTGCTGTTTTCCATATTTGTGAATGACCTGGTCTCAGTAGTCACAAATTGTAAAATATTACTCTTTGCAGATGATGCTAAAATATACAAGGAAATTTCGTCGGAGTATGATTGTGATATGCTTCAAGCCGACCTTGACCAAGTATTACTGTGGTGCCTCAAGAATGAAATGGAGCTTAACATCTCCAAATGCACAGTGCTCTCCTTCTCACGACGGGCAAATACCATGATGTATGGTTATACTCTTGGAGGAAAATCACTTTCCAGATCATCTGTTGTTAAAGACCTTGGTGTGACTTTAACATCGTCACTAAGTCCCGATGCTCACCTTGATGCCATTAGTAGAAGAGCAAACTCTGTTCTTGGTTTTATTATTAGAGTGTCTAAGGACGGTTTTTCGCCAGAAGCACTAAGGACTCTTTACGTTCAACTTATCCGCCCTATCCTTGAGTACTGTTCTCCAGTGTGGTCACCGTATCAGCTGGGCCACATAGAACTTCTTGAGGGAATACAAAGACGATTCATTCGAATTGTTGGACTGCAGCTGGGCTTTCGTTATGAAGATGTACCCTTGGACGAGCTAAGCCACCTCCTTCGTCTTCAACCCTTGTCAGTCAGGCGTAGAGTCTCCGATTTAATGTTTCTGAAGAAGATAATCTCAGCTTCAGTGGACTCACCTGAATTGTTGGGAAGAATCGACCTTCGAGCGTTGAAATCGACAAGATCAAAACAAAGCGTCATTGAGTCATAAGTCATTGAGAAAGTAGTTCCGTATATTTTCGCAATTTGCAGTGAATTCCGCGCCTTAAAAAATGTTTTAACGGTATTTTCTTGTTTATTAAGATCATAGGAATGGTTTTAAACGTTTAAAAGAAAAGTCTAGAAAGTTCAGAAATACCTTATGATTCTCTTGTTTACATTTTTCTTGTCAACAAACAAAACTGTCATAGCTACTTTAGTCCCATAAGCCTAATGTTAAAAATTGAAAATTTTATGTTTGTTTTAAATTGCATTATCATTATCTAATTGAAATTTGTTTGTTTGAAAACCATCTCACTATTAGTCTAAGTAATTTTGTTAAGTTTGGCTGAAATGCGTTCAGCCGTTATGAGTGATGTTTCTTTATTTGTTGCATTGAAGTTGATCCCAAAGAGCTTTGCTCGCTCCGCTCAATGAAAACTACCGTGAGTTAAGAAGAAAATTGCATTTCTTTCAAAGAGGGCATTATAAGCTTTCTTTTGATACCAAAATCGTTTCTTAATTACGAAAAACATTGTTTTTATGCGTATTTGAAATTTTCAAAACAGTTTTTCTCAAAATGACCCTTTCCTATAACAAAATTTCAAAGTCCTATAACTTAAACAAACAAAAAATCATACATGCGTGGGACTTGCACCAATCGATTCGGAATTTAATATGGAATTCAAATATTTATATAACTCAAAATCGAAAATTCCTGACAAGAGGTCCCTATCACATATTTGTTAGTAAATTATTGACCTGTGTTAAACTATAGTATTAAACTATGTCCGCTTTCTTGCAAACCACCCTCACGCCGAGCTTGATCGAACATCCGGCGGACGAAAATTAGCGCCAACGGACATCATGCCGGACAGATCACCGTGATCTTGGTATCCATAGCTTAAGATGATATTCAATTGACTGTGATCATTTTTCTAGCATGGAAAATAGAAGGAATTTTATATCACACGTAATCTTAGTATTATAGCTGGAGTTCTGTACTGTAGCGGTACTGGGCTCATAGGATCGATTTGAGGCTCAATTAAAGTCAGAGATTTCCTGTGCGTGCTACCATTCTAAGTCAGAATATTTTATTTAACTTAACTAAATAACTGAGCCAAGCCACATCTATATCACAGCCATTTTGATGATCTAAATTTAGTAATGCATTCAACCAATTATACTAATATAATAAGAATACGCTAAAAAAACTCCCTTCGCGCCTTATGGGCCCGAAAGGTACGGTTAACTCGGTTTTACATACTATAAATATTTAATTAATGATAGAATCCCTAACCCTTTGTTCCCCCCCCCCCCCCCCGTACTGAAAAGAATTAGAACATGATTGATATAAATCTAATAATTAAACTTAACACTATAACTTATCGGTCTCATTTCCATTCCTCGACGACGTAATCTCTCCAGTAGTTCCAGGCGACGACTGACTACTGCCCTTCTTATTCTACCCCTTCCCTACTCCCTCCAGTGTACGCGACTAAAGCGGATTGCACCAGTTGATAGCGGCTCAGCTGTGACGCCAGCGTCACAACCTCCCCGGCTTGAAAAAAATATTTTTTGGTAAGGTGGGAAGGTAGGGTTTTAGATGGTGCCACCCTTGGTGGTCACGCCGGACATTGGGTACTCGGTGACAGTGGTGGTGCCGTTTGAATTCGCTTTATCCAGTGCGGCGCGTCACGGCGTGTCTCCGTGGTGCTCATGGGCATTCCAGTGGCGGGCCAGAGCGACGGTCACCACTGTACTTCTGAGGGCTTTGGTGCTTTTCGGATGTTTGAGTTGTGTTAATGTCTTCCTTAATGCTACATTGACTGTGTCTTGATAATGTGCGTCTGGTTACTTAGCATAAAAACTATTTGTTCCCTACTTGCAGAAATAACTTATGAACTTGTTGATGGCCCTAACTTATATTAATTTAAACTAATTAATTTAATTTATTTTATTTTAATTTTTTTATATTTTTGTATACAGTATATACAGGGTGTCCGGTCATAAGTGTTAAATAAAATTTTGCCTCAAAGTACATGGTAATGGCGACCTAATGACGCACATTTGAGGTTCCCAACCTCAACCGTTAGGTAATAACAAATAAATTAAGGTTTTCCAAAAATTATTGTAGTTGCCATGAAAAAGGTTATATTACTCTGTTAAAAATGCACTAATTGTTAATTTAAATGTCATTTTCAGAATCCTCATAAAATTTTGAATCCTATAATCGTTAATCGATAATCGTTAGGGTACGGAAAAATATTCTACTTAAATTTCTTCCTTATACAATTTTGTTTAATACCGACGAAAATTTAATTAACATTTAGCAATTTATTTCTCGGTTACCAAGTTCCGCTGAGTTAAACAAGTATTACTAAAAACCTCCTTAGTAAAAGGGCTTTACAATGGTGTATAATAGTTTTCACCAAGTTTCAAATTTCCTAATGTAATTTAATCATTTTTGTGAAAAAACATGGTAGGGCAAAGAAAAGCTATTGTGAAGAATAATACATTTAAGTGCAGGCAACGAATAATTTGTATTTTTTTCTCGCATGCAACGCTTTTTTTATAACTATTAAGCTAAGAAAAGAAACATATGGTAACAAAATGTGTTTGTCATAAAGTTACGGTTATCGTATATTTGCATATTTCGGATAAGATTACAATTAACTCGCGGAAGTTCGGTTGTGGCTATCCCAAAACTTCCTGACATGGATTGGGCGTGGAGGAAGTGTGACGTAGCCTCCTCGATCTCCAAACTTGAGCCCGTTAGATTTTTTT